AGGCACTCCGTGATCTAAGTGTCAGGTGAATTCCTCTGACTGGAAGGATAAACCACACCACAAGTTGCACAGTGAGTCCCTGTTTACGTGGCACAGCTTGATGTAACAGCCATACCTGTACACAGAGAGTGGGACCTGACCTTTGGCTTCAATTCCTTTTGGTGCTTGATAACAGGAAAACAATCAACATGACAACAAGCTTTCAGAAGGCCTTTGGGAATCCCCAGCCTAGGAAGCCTGAAGTCTGCAACCAGCAAATTAGCAGATGCTACACTGAAAAGAATCAGTGGCCAGATAACTATGACTTATTCCTCAAATGGATGTCATACTTCACAAATCCTAGAATTGTTGAATAGTTTGGGTGGAAGGGACCTTAAGTCTCATTCTCATTCCAAGTCCCTACCATGGGCAGGGACACCTTCTGCTATTCCAGGTTGCTCCAAGTCCTGTCCTACCTGGCCTTGAACATTTTCAGGGATGGGGCAGCCACAGCTGCTCTGGGCACCCTGTGCTGGGGCCTCACAACCCTCACAGGGAAGAATTTCTTCCTAATATCTAATCTAAACCAACTCTTTATCAGTTTAAACAATTGGAGTTTTTAAAGTCAGCAAATACATGAATAAAGGAGACTGAGTTGCTAAAACCCACTTTGGTTTCCAGAAGAGTCTCCTAAAGAAGTTATTCACCCAGGACACGAGGGAAGGTCTTTCATTTGGATTACAGCTGATTGAAAGACAGAAAAAAGATGGGTTATGGGAAGTTCCTGTGAGATTTCCATAAGGAGATCTGTACTGTGAGCAGTGCTAATCAATTTATTCAATCAATTTATTCAAACAGAAAAGATGGTGCAAGGTGATGCGGTATTAAATGCTCTGAGGGTCATAAATGGATAGCTGAAAAACTGCAGAATGTCTTTATGACAGCAGAGGATCAGACAATAAAATAACAGGAGAAATGGCATGTAAAGAAGTCAAACAGATGAACTCCTCAGGCTGCAAAAAGATGCATAAAGACAGATCCACTGACTACAAAATCATGAGAAGCAGAAGAAGTTAAACAGGGAAGGATTTATCCACCATTTCTTACAGTACAAGAATTCCACCATGTGGAAGCAGTGAGGTACGAAAGGAGCAACTAGAAATCGCTCATCACACCTTTGTAAGCAAGAGAGAAAACTCCTCCTTGCACAGAGCTGTTATAGTTAAGGTTAAAATCATGGGCTTAACAAGTGGTTTGAGTAACTCACAGAAGAAATGCTAATCAAGGACATTAGGTATAAAGAGATCTTCTGTCTCAAAGGAGTGCCCTGAGTCTCAAATTCCTATATGCTCCTTGTTCCTGTTTGTCCTCAGCTTACACTCTCCTTAGACACCTTTTGTTGACCACCAAGTGAGATGTGAGACCATCTCAGACAGGTTTCTGGGTTTCCCCAGTATCACCATCCTTACATGCTTGTGTGCTGCCCTGAGAGCCACTTGCCAACAGAAAATATGTAAATGTGTAAAGACCACATTCCGTAGCACGAGTTCCTTATCAGTCTCATCTTGCAGTGCCTTCCATGTAGCACATTTTCAGGGATCTGTATTTTCATTTCAAAAGGATATTTTGATTTTGAAATCATCATTTCTGCTAAACTTTCTCTCTAGGAGCCTTTGAAAGAGTATGCCGCTATATGGCCAAAAAATGCAACTCAGTGGTTGTGTCTGTTGGGTAAGTGCTATTTTGCCATAGAAGCATTTATGGGAATACAGCTCTCAGTTGAAACTCTTCTGAAAAATATGCTGAAAATATTTACTCTTTTAGATCACATCCCTATTTTTCAGTTAAACCTTTCATTTAATTTAGAAATGTGCTTACAGGCAAAATATTCTAAAATAGCTGTAGCATCATTAGTTTGGCCTTCCAATCTACACTCGTTAAACCGAAATACAATCTTCAAAATTAAGAGAAAAAAAGTCCTGCAAACAACACAAATAGAGTGTTTGTAACTCCACTGACAATAACCACAGTCTTTGACATTTCAGGTACCGTCTGGCTCCTGAACATCCCTACCCAGGACAATATTTTGACTGTCTCAATGCCACCTTATACTTCATGAGGAATTTAGAAGAGTATCACGTGGATCCTGGTCTCATCATCATCAGTGGTGACAGCTGTGGAGCTAATTTTGCTACAGTTATTTGTCAAATACTGCTGAATGATAGAGATCTGCCAAAAGTACGTGCTCAGGTCCTGCTTTACCCAGGACTCCAGGGGCTGGATTTCCACTTGCCCTCCTACCAGCAGAATGCTTTCGTCCCCATGTTGTCCCGGAAGATGATCATCTACTTCTGCTTTCGTTACCTTAACAGAAAACCTACATTTTGGAAAGATGTTCTGCAAAACTGCCATGTTCCTGATAGTATGAGACAGCAGTATAAAAAATGGGTAAGTGCTGACCTTATTCCTGATGAATTTAAGGTTAGAGGCTACGTCCCACCAAAACCTGCAGCATATAAACCTGAAGTTCATGAAGCTGTCAAAGAAATTTTAGCAGCAACGTTTTCCCCACTTTTAGCTGAAGATTCCATTATTTGCCAGCTCCCTGAGTCCTACATTGCAACCTGTGAGTTTGATGTGTTGAGGGATGATGGTCTGTTATACAAGAAGAGACTGGAGGAAAATGGTGTTCAAGTGACTTGGTACCATTGCAAGAATGGCTTCCATGGAATTTTAGCCTTTTTTGGCTATGGGTTTTTTTCCTTTTTATCTGCAAATAAGATAATGGACAGTATTGTGAATTATATAAACAGTTTATAGAAGTATTTTTCAGAAGAAAGATGCAAGTCACGCAATATCTTTGATTAATTTATACTTGGCAAGGAATATAAACGCTTTTGATTTGTGGTTTGGATTTTGACTGCATTTGTAGTTTCTGATTTCTGCTTCTGTAGTGACTCTCAAACAAATGTTAAGATTATTTGAACTGCCACCATTCTAGAAAATATTCTTGTAAAAAAACACATCAATAAGACCAACATGAAAAAGGTAAGGCACCTAGCACACCCTAAAACTAAAACTACAGCAATTCCAGTATCTTTGCATGGCTGACACACACTGAAGGCAAGGGACAAGAAGATCCCCATGAAGATTCTTCAACAGCCCAGAAATGCTGAAGACAACAACTGAGGTCTGCTTTGGCCCTTGTGACAGACAGGAGGTGTTGATGGTGTCAGATGTAGAACTCATCTGCTATGAAGTCGTACAGCAGACACTGAAATTGCAGCCATGAATTTAATTTCCAGGTTTAGTCTCTACAAAAACTACACTGCTCTAGAAATAAGGAAGTCAGAAGGAAGGCTCCTGTCTGGAGCAGAAATCCTAAACTGGTACTAGCATGGGGTTGATTTTGTTTGGGATCTCACAAATGATGTTTCATTTTGGAGCTTCTTTTTCAAACTAGAATCCCTGAACTTCAGTGAGTGTGTGGATGGCAGAGAAGTGCAGAGGTGGGACTTTTCCATAACCCACTTTTTCTTTCAAGGCTACCTGTTCTGCTGTGTTGAAAAAGTTCTGAAAATCATGTGAAGAAGGCAGGGAAACATAGTTTTATCTATTTTATCACTGTAATGCTATGGTGATTCTGTGATGCTTTCAACAACAAAAAATAAAAAACTCACACTGCAAATATTTCTGTTATAAGAGTGAGTGTTACATTTGCTAAACACATACTAACTGATGAACCCATCTGGAACCCCCTCCCATGGAAAGGAGCAATACAACACAGGCAGGCAGTCACCACAGTCCTGCTGCTTTTACCTTGTCACATCTGTGCTGTGGTCAGTAATTAACCTACCTAACAACTGGATATAACCACACAACTGTAAAAACACAACACAAACTGGAAGTCCACAAACACCACTGGATGGACTATTTTTTTTTTTTCAAATCTGGGCTTTTGCTGATTTTTGAAACAAGATTTCCTTCTACTTCAGATATTTTATGATTACTGTGTGCCCTATTAAAAACACTAAACTTTTCACTAGAGAAACAATATGAAATTAAATTGTTATAAAGTTTTGTAACCAAAATGACAAGACACTTAGCCCCAACACTTATAATTTGACTTTACAACAACACCACCACCAAACAAAAAAACTCAACACCCCCGCCATTGCTACCTAATAAGGTTAGATTTTTTACCTCTTTTCTTTCCCTGTGAACTTGCAGTTTAAATGTTCTGACATCCTAGTCGTTTGAAGAGTTGCAGGCTTAGATTCACAATTAATTCATTTGCATCACTTAAAGTACACCTTCCCTACATCAGCACAATCCTACACCTTGGCAAGAACAAGATAAAGCAGTTTGATTCAGAACTCTTTAATCATTGGTTATCTTAAGTCATTCTCAGCTGTATTTGTTGCACCAAGAGTTACTCAAAGTTACCTGCAACAGGGTCACCTAATTATTAATCTAAAGTCAGCCTTCTGTGGCTTTTTTAAAGCATGTTCTTCTGTTAGAAGAAAACACAAACACTAAAAAGAGCTGAGATTTGTGTGATGACAGAATTTTCTAAGTGCACCTTTCTAAAGAGCACTGGTGACAATCCCTTTGGCCCTTTTGAGTGACAATCATCATGTGCAGGTTCCCACTCCTGAGGAAACTCTTCAGATGGGTGTTTTCTAGTGCAACAAACTCAAAGCACACAAATTCCCACTGTCCATTTTCCACCTCCAACTAATGCAGTTCATTCTTAACACTCTTCTCCCAGCTAAGCACTGGTTTCTTGCAAAAATTCCAAAATGCTGCTGGCATAAGTCTATTAGCAAATCAAGGACTTTGATCAACTTATCTTTTGTGAGATAACAGGAATGGGGGGAAAAGAAAGTGGGAGAGGGAAAGATACCTGCTAATGTATTTGTGAAAGGGAGGAGAAAGGTTTTTACTGGAGCAAACAAAGAGCAGGAAGATTAACAAAGAATCAGGAAGTAACAAGACAAATATATATTGGAAAGTCAAATCAAAGACATGTCAGACCACTGCAGTTCAGCAAAATGGCAGCTGTACTCACAGTGCTGGTGCTATTCTTAACTGGTTTTCTTGCTGCATTTATATTGTTGGTCATAGGGGCAATTAATTTTGATTTTTCCAACTCAGAAATTCCTCCTGGAGTGAATCAGCCTGCAAAGCTCCGAATCATTCATATAATTGTAATATTCACTGCTGTGGTGGTAAGTGAACCTGGTGTGATTTTGGGGGGAAGAACAGTGATCCTGTAGGTTTTAAACTTACTATCATGAAACCTGCATGGAATTATGGTCCGAGAGCAGAGCAGGGCACTGCTGTTATGCTGCATGTTTTACTGAGCTGAGTGCTGCTAAAGAAATTTTTGCCAGACTACTGACACTGAACTGCTGTAATCCAGTCCCCTAAATGCTGCCTTAACACAAATGTGTGAAAGTCTGACTGTGCTTCTGCCCTGACTCGAGCTGACCTAGCAATGATTTGATTTATGTTTATCCATGTAGGATCATTTGTATTTCCATTCTTGGTTCAGACTATACCAGATGTCTCTGGTTCATGCTTTCAATGTTCTCATGGGCATGGGGATGAGAATTCTGTATTTATTTTGAATATGAAGTGAGAAGCTGAACATTTCAGAATTGGCCTTGGGAAGGAAAAGTTTCTGTCACACAAGTGACAAAATTATGTAACATTGCCCAAGAGGAGCTGAAGGAATTCTTCTGCCCAAAGCACATTTATATAACTCCTGCAGCAACTAAGCAGGATTGTCTGGTGGGAATGAGGGGCTCTGACCAGCCCAACTTCTCCAGGTGAAGCAGCTTGTAAAAGCATGGGAAGGTAATCAGCCTCCAAGAGCAGCACTCAACATCTGGTGAGCTCTGCTGACAGAGGAGCTCACTGAATCACAGGTATTTGTACGTAATTACAGGTGTAGAGATGCTCTGATGAGACATGGCATTAGACAGGAGGTAACAAAGGTTGTGCATGTATTTACTAAATTAATTTAATTAAAGAGATACAAGCTATTTAAAATTAAAAAATGAAAACAAAGAGAAAAAATTCTCTGTCAGAAATATTGTAGGTTATGGTCAACCACAGTAAAGAATTTTTGATATATATTCTCATGCTTTGGCTGCACTGCAGTTGTAATTAGAAAGAGATAACATCACTTAAGCAGCTGGAAAAGCCAGTTCTCTTTTAATCATCAATCCACTGCCCATCATAAACCAGCATTGTATGCTGCAATGTAAGTAACACAGGGTGGAAGAAAACAAACAAGTTAAATATGAAAGTTAAAATATCCTTGGTATTGTTCATTCCTGCTTGGAAAATAGCAAATAAAAAAGAATAAGTAGTTTTATCATACAACTGGAGACACTAAGACTAGTTTCTGTAAAAAAATAAAATCAATACATTGCAAAATGTCTTAGTTTCTTCAAGAAATCTTACCTCAAGATCAGGCATGGAGAATTTTATAAATATCTGGAATTGCTGAAAAAAAGGCCTTTTGTAGATAAATATATTGAGAGTTATGACACTACTGACAATCCATGCAAATGTGGCTGTCTAATAAGAAATATTCATAACAGAATCTTGAGCATTATGAACTTGATCCAAATATTGCTAAGGACCGAAGTACTGACTGGCATGGCTGAACAATGAATTTCAAAACAGAGGATGTGCCTTTTATTTATACAAAGTTATGTTGGAGTAGTAGCTCTGATTTGTATTATTTTCTGGTACCTGGCATGAATAATCCTATGGCACAGAGAATGAAGAGAAGCTCATTTCTACTAAATACGTCAGGATTTTCTCGTCGGTGCATGGCACACATCAGCAAGACTTAGGAAATGGATCAAAAAGCAATTATCAAACATATTCTTAACTTAGTCAACTCTACTTTGGGCAAGTGACTACCATGAAAATCAGCACCAGAATGATCATCTTTTGCTATGTTTTCACATCATCTGGGGGGAAGGATAGAATAACCAGTGAAAACCAAACTTGCTCTCAGTGTTAGGTAAAGGACCTGCTGAGGAAGCAGAGGAATCTATCTCACCAATCTGTTAATGTTGCATTGTTTAGGGTTTTGTTCATGTAACTCTCTCATAGCCCCTCCTGATGCTGCTGTTACTTGTTCAGTTTTCTCCTATACCTGTACAACTAATCTCTTAGCTTATTACTGCCTTAAAAATACATGACTTGTGCACCATGAGTTTACTGTCCACACAGTTCCTTTCCTTTGGAAAATACAGGGTCTCTTGAGTGAGGTCTCTGTTCTCTTTACCTTTGAACAGGGAAAGATTTTGCAAAACCTTGGCATCTGCACTCAGGTGAGCTTTGTGCGGTACATGCAAGGAAGAAAGACTCCGGGGGCGGACCCAAAGCTCTTCATCAGAGATCTGTGGTTTGAGAACGTGCCTGTAAGGATTTACCAGCCTAAGGCTCCATCTGCCAGCCAAAGGAGAGCAGTTATGTTTTTTCATGGAGGAGGATGGGTATTTGGAAGCATTGGTAAGATATCTAGCAGAAATATTTCAGTTAAAGAAATACATATTTCATAAATAATAAAGTTGGTTGTTTCTTGATCTGTAGCAGTTGCAAACTTTGAATATAACCACAGGTTCAATCTTGTAATTCTTGCTGCCAGAAGAAGGCACCTGCTGTGGATCAGGTGATTTTTCTTACAGGACAATGATATAAGGGGGAAAAATACTGAAATAGGAAGATGAGGAGGTACGAAAGAACTGAGGAGCTTTGTAGGAAGCAGCAGGGAAAAGCAGAGAGCATTTCCTTCTTGCAATTCTTTGATTTATCCAATAGATAACATCTCTTCTCTGGAGAGAAAATGCACCCCAACCTAAACCCAAACCCCACCAAATCTCTTTCAGAGACCCACGAAGAGCTGTGCCGCTTTATTGCCAGAGAAAGTGAATCTGTGGTTGTATCTGTGGGGTGAGTCTTTGCTCATGCTGATTTTGAGAGATTATTTCCTACAGTGTAAATATCACCTCCTGTCCCCTCAGTCATAGCTACAATCTTCCTTAGAGAAATGTCTCCGTGGGGCTTCTCGAGTATGTGATTTACCACTTCATCTGCTGTTCCTTGGAGACACTGAAGACTCACTTGGGCTGTTTTCACTGTCTGATTACATCACAAATTACACTTTGGGATATCTAGTTGGAAAATGAAGTTCTGAATGAATATTTTCCAATTCCAAACACAAAACTGATTGTAAACAGATAGTAAGCTGTATGATCTCCTTAACATTTATTCAAGGAAAGCCTCCTTGATGCTTAGAGAAGCACAGTGTGAATTAGAAGTTAATACATTATCAAAATACTGGCATAATGGTTCAGATTACAAGGATATGTAACGTAACATTACGTAACAAAGATATAAATCAGAAGTTATTTGTGTCCAACCCATGAAAAACTGAAGCAGAAATAATTAAATTATTGTCAATAAAACCTACATTTAATTGGCAGCTGAGTACTCCTTTGTTTTATAAGACCTAAGAGACATCATAAACAGATGATATCATAACAAAATAATCTGCACCACCTAATTTCATTGATGGCAATCCTATGGAGAGAACTGAAACTACGGAAATCAGGGTATTCCTTGATGCAGGAACCAGGACTTTAGCAATACATTTAAAACTCATATTTCCATATCTCACACTTGTCTCGGTGTCCCAGGTACCGTCTGGCCCCCGAGCACAAATACCCCGCTGCGTACGAAGACTGTCTGAGCGCCACCCAGCATTTCCTGCAGCACCTGGAGCGCTTCGGCGTGGATCCCGCCCGCGTCGCTGTCTGCGGGGACAGCGCTGGGGGCAACCTGGCAGCTGCTGTCAGCCAGAGCCTGGCAGGCAGCTCAGACCTGCCCAGACTCCGTGCTCAGATCCTCATCTACCCAGGCCTGCAGGCACTGGACTTCAATTTACCATCCTACCAACAAAATCGGGGAGTCCCTCTGCTATTCCGGGAACGTGCCGCTTTCTATATGTTGCAGTACCTAAATGGAAATGCAATAAAACTGGAAGAGGTCTTGGAAGGTTCCCATATTCCTATAGATATTAAATTAAAGTATAAAAAGTGGGTGAGTCCAGACAACATCCCTGAGGAATTTAAGGTCAGAGGCTACAAACCACGTGTGCTCCTTGACTGCACAACTGAAGTTTTTGAGACAGTGAAGAGATTCTGTGAGCCCAACCTGTGCCCACTGCTGGCTGAAGACACAATTATCCAGCAGCTGCCAGAATCCTTCATCCTGACCTGCGAGTACGACGTGCTGCGGGACGATGGCTTGTTGTACAAGAAGAGGCTGGAGGACAATGGGGTTCCAGTGACCTGGTACCACCTTGAAGATGGATTCCATGGAATCATAAACTCATTTAATAGTGGCTGGTTGTCATTTCCAGCTGGGAAAAGGGGCCTTGACAATATTGTGAATTTTCTAAGAGGCTTATAGCAACATTTTTCCTTTTTTTCTGTAAGAACTGCCAAATTTCGTGGTCTTTCATGCTTCTAAATTCCATATAAGAAGTTCATATAGGACAATTTGTTAATAAGAATTTATGCCAGTATGATCACTATAAAAGACATTTCAAGAATAGTTTCTTTTATTGCTGTCTGAAGTAGTCCATGTGCAGTCTGCCTATTTTAATCATCTGTTTGGATAACCCTTGTCCAGTACAAGTGCTGCTCTCTTACATATATGCAAAAGATGCAGTAAAATTTTAAGATAACATCTGGTCTGATCTGTTTTATTCAATTACACTCGATGATTTCATTCTTCCTAGAAGTGTGTATTTTGGCAAAGGAGAAAGACAATGACACTACAGTGCTATAATGCACAGCCTGTACTCTCTGCTACACGTAGCACCTGAGTTTAAGATTCCAAATTTGAAGATGTCTGTTGGCTAGTATTTTATACTCAAAAAATGATGTCACATTCATGAACTTGACTTTTAGAATTGCAACTGTTCCCAACAGAAATACTCTATTGACAGCTTTGTTTAAATTACAATGGGAAAAATGTTTTAAGTGTTTTCTTATGTTTATCAAACATACGTGTATGCTGAAAAACTTGTGCTTGAATGGAATCCTAGAGTCACAGAATGGTTTGGGTTGGAAGGAACATTAAAGCTCATTTCATTCCAAAGCCCTGCCATGAGCAGGGACACCTGGTCTAGCCAAGGTAGCTTCAAGCCCCAAATAATCTAACAACAAAACAGGACTGATGCATTTACTTTTGCAGAGCTTGTTACTTACCTTTTGCCCCCCACCCCTCCCTTCTTCCCATTTTCTTTTCTAAATGTCCCTGTTAAATGGATGTATTCCAAACTATGTAAAGCATGCCCACCATGCAGGAAGTTAATTTCGAATGTCCTGGCTGCAGATGAGTTGCAAGGGATAAATTAATCCCCACATTTGCTGGCTCTCTGTCATAGACTAGAACTTCATCCAGGACTCAGCCTCAGTCTCTGAGCACTCACTGTTATCATCCACAATCCAAGAATTCCCTATTCAATACCAGCCCCTTTATCAGTCCCACAATTACCATCAAGATAAACAGGAAATTAAACACATTGACTCTTCTCCAATGTGATAACTGCTTGCACAACATTTCCAAGGACTTTAAAGTGAGCAACACCTGAGAGAGCTCTTGCAATTGGGACTGCTCCAGGGCTTGCTGTTACCTGAAAAAGCCAATTCACAGATAGGTGTGAAGACACATCACCTCTAGATACGTGAAATGGCATTTTTTTATCTACTGCCAGTGATACTGCTGGTGATTTTTGTTGCTTCATTCATATCAGCAATCATAAGAACAATTAAAACTGAGTATGCCAATTGCAACATCCCTCCTGGAGTGAGCAATCCCGGAAAACTTCGACTTATTGTTGCTGTTTTGATTGTTTCATCTACTCTGGTGAGTAACTCTGCTGCAACTTCTGCAAGAAACATTGTTAGATGTTAATTTTGTTCTGCGTGTATCCTGCCAGCTCCATCAAGGCTTAAATGATGGCTCTTCTCTTCTAGGGGCTGACTTGAGAGGACAGCTTTTGGAAAATAATTTCTATTAGACTTCAGTCAGATTTTCCCTATTACATAAGGATTAAGTCAACCATTAGAGCCTAAGCTTTATCAGCTGTGTTTCCCTAATTAAATTTAAAATTAAATATTTATAAAAAGTGAGATTGCTTTCATTTCCACTTCAGCTAAGCACACATGATGTTTTGAGGTCATTCTTGGGGCTCTCCAGTAACATGGGAGGCTGGGTAATGGAAGTACCACTAATGGGAGACTGGATGCTTTTTAAGAAGGCAAAAAGAGAAACCCCAGAAACCTTAGCGGGATGAGAGACACTTGGGTGGGAGCATTGGCAAGGCCTCCCTCACCAGGAGCCCTGTGATTAATTGCTCTTCACTCTCCAGGAGCCCCTTCCCCAACTGTCCTTCACTCTCCAGGAGCTCCTTCACCAATTGCCCCTCACCAGTGACCAATTTGTGACTAGTTGCTCTTCACTCTCCAGGAGCCCCTTCCCCAACTGCCCTTCAGTCTCCAGGAGCTCTTTCCCACTCTCCAGGAGCTCCTTCAACAATTTCCCCTCACCAGGAGCCCTGTGACCAATTGCCCTTCACTCTCCAGGAGCCCCTTCCCCAGCTGCCCTTCACTCTCCAGGATCTTCTTCACCAATTGCCCCTCACCAGGCTCCCCTTCAATGAGTGTCCCTCACCCACTGCTTTTCTCCAGGTGCCCCCTCACCATTTGCCCCTCACCAGGTGCCTCTCTCCAATTGCCCCTCTCCTGGTGCCCCTCACATCCCTTCTCCTGGCTCCCCATCGCTGGGTGCCCCCTCAGGGCCGTCCGTGCTCCATCTCCCCTCAGCTCACCCCGGCTGTCCTCCCTCTCCCAACAGGGCAGGATTTTTGAGAAGATGGAGCTGTGCAGCAGCCTGGCCTTCAGGCGCCTCATGCTCTCTGGTCGGAAGCCGGGCCCGGCGCCGGGGGTGCGGCAGGAGGACGCGCGGTTTGGGCACGTGCCCGTGCGGCTGTACCGGCCCAGTGCACCGGCTGCGTGCCCACGCACTGCTGTGCTGCTGTTCCATGGCGGCGGCTGGATCTGCTGCAGCCTCGGTACGGCCTGGTGCAGCCCAGTGCAGTCCATTGCAGCCCAATGCAGCCCAGTGCAGCCCAATGCAGCCCAATGCAGCCCAGTGCAGCCCATTGCAGCCCAATGCAGCCCAGTGCGGCCCAGTGCGGCCCAGTGCGGCCCGGACACCCCAGTACTGACCTCGCTTCCAAAGCCCACCCTAGGTCGAAGGTGGCTCAGTGTGGTGGAAAAATCTCTCCTCCAACCCGAGCTTCCAAAGAAAGGCTCAGCAGTCTCTGTTGTTTGGTCTCATGGTTGCTTATTGCAAGTTATCTAAAAAATTTTCTTCTCAGACTGCTGTGGTTTGCTCACAGCTCAGGCAGAGGCACACACACACCCTGACATCCTCTCTGACTCCCGACTGCTTCTTCTCTCCCTGCCCAGGGCTGCTGCTACCTTTTGTATGTACATTACGTGTTACCTGTTTACAGTTTTTCCTCAATACCTACTACCTGTATTAAATGGTGCTTTTCTACTCTAAACCAATCTGTGAGTGCCAACATCACCAAGAACATGGAGGTAAGGAAGAAGAAAGAGGAAGGACAGGGCAGGCCCAAATCCCTCCATCTTAAACCCTCTGACCCCCATGTACAAAACCAAAACCCCCCTGTACAGCACTCAGAAATTCTTCCCTTTACTTTGTGGCTACTTCTACTATAACATCTAAACTTTTGTGACGTCTTGTTCTTCCTGCAAGGTTGGTAAATCATTCCATGGCTCAAATCCAAAATCACAGCTGTTTCCAGCTGCCTGCCAGGGTCTCAAATGTTTCTGACCTGGGCCCGGAACATCCAAAAATGTCTGAGGGACATTTTGAGTTCTGACACTTGCCACACTAGCCACTCTGTGTACGTGGCCAACACAATTCCGGCCTCCACACAGATGCTGATACAAAACTTTTCCACCTGTTTATGTACTTTTAGCAAACAAATTAATGCTCATGAATTCTCTTTCGTAAATTGGTATTCTATCCTCTTCACTATTTTTAGTGAATTTTTCCTCCAGTAGGGGCTTCCCAATATACATATACAGAATCTTTTTTTAGCTGCTTGTTTATACTCTTGCTTCTACAAAATGTCCTTGTAGTCCATAAATTCTGCCCTCTTTGTATCCAATTTCAACAATACACACCCTCTCCCAGGCCTTGTTTTTTGAAGCATATCAGGCTTAGTTTGGGAAGACTTTTAAAAGCTTCATTGATTTTCCCAACCAAGTCTACGTAAAGAAAGTTAGCTACATGCTGCCTAAAAGTGATTTAAGACTAGCACACTGCTTATAATTAATATACTAGTTACGGTGAATTAGAACAATTAATTAAAAATTAATTAGAAAAATTATATAATCTGCAGCCACTGGAAGGCTGAACTCTGGCTGGGCTTTCCTATCCAGCGCTGTGAAGGGAGGCCTCGGGCAGGGGGAGAGGGGAGAGGGGAGCTGGATTATTTGTGGGCAGTAAAACATCCTTCAATGTGTTCCAGATACCCATGAAAGGATCTGCCAGTACATTGCCAAGGAAAGCGGCTCGCTGGTGGTGTCCGTGGGGTGAGTTATGGCCAGCTGCCCCTGAGAAGCCTTTTTGCCTCTTGTTGCCTCTCAGCACTGCAAGGATGTGCAGCTGTTGGGAATGCTCCTCTCTAGGATCTGGACACCATGATCCTCATGGGTCCCTTCCAACTCAGCATTTTCTATGATTTTCCCAGGTGTCCAGACCGAATTTCAAGGGGGCTGTTTGTTGTTCATTTCTCTCCCTGCTCCATCAGCTAATAGTGCAGACACAGCCCACAGTAAGGTCCATGTGTGTCCCAACATATGCTGGCACCACACAAAACCAAGGAATGCTTTCCAGTAGAGAGTTCCAATGTGTTGAGAAATGACTAACAAACCAACTCGGAAGGTGACAATTCACTAATCCATTTAAATAGGTGTAATTACCTTGTGAACTTCAAAGTACTTTCTTGTGAACTTCAAGTGAGAATCAAATGCTAGTAAGTAATAATACTAATAATTAGTACTATTAATACTAGTAATACTGAAAAATATAACTGTCCCAGTTATTTAAATAAAGAAAAAATAATTATAAAAATGAAATCTCCTAAGTAACGGTGAGGTGCAGATTGATTAAATTACTTAATTACTTAATCCACAAAACAGATGCAGTCTATGCTAAAATGAGAAAATGAAGTTGCATCACTTAATTTGTGATCAGGGCTGCTCTTGGAATATCCAACTATGCTATGTTCTTGCAGCCCCATCCTAGGGCTATCACGTCTCTGTGATGACTTATCGGACAAATACCTGCTTAGTAGATAAAAATACCTTTATGTGTTTTTTTTCTGAGGGAAAAATTACTCCAACACAAGGAGCACCAGGATGTTGTAGAAATTCTGTATTTACACTTATATGACATTTCTGCTGTCACTTTTGCTGTCTCGGTGTCCCAGGTACCGTCTGGCCCCCGAGCACAAATACCCCGCTGCGTACGAAGACTGTCTGAGCGCCACCCAGCATTTCCTGCAGCACCTGGAGCGCTTCGGCGTGGATCCCGCCCGCGTCGCTGTCTGCGGGGACAGCGCTGGGGGCAACCTGGCAG